GCAGCCCTGCTCTCTCTTTGGGAATCGGATGGTTTAGTTAAATCCCTGCTGGTCTCCATTCCAGCCAGAATGGACCTCCAGATCTGGAGTGGCCCAGTGGGGAGGGAATGTTGGTGAGGGGGTCAGCCTGCCATTAGGAAGGAGACAGAGGCTAGCCGGGGGCTGGGAAAGCCTGTGGATGAGCTGGGCCCTGTGGAGCTGTGTCTTGCCGGATAGGACCTTTTTAAGGCTCTAGACTTGAACTCCACGGATGAGGCCAGGCAAGGGCCACAGGATAGATAAAGAGAAATTAGAATTCTCTTGATGTCGTCACACTGCTGCTTTACAGGGGAGGGAGAAAGGCGTATTTAAGGTGTTCTGAACTGGGACGTGAAAATTTACAGCCCGGAGAGCCATCATTTAGCTTATTTACTCAGCTCACAGAAGTTACCAAGGTAGGACCCTGGGTCCCAACTGCTGGAGTTCAAACCTGGTTCTGCCACTTAAATATAACCTCAGGCAACTGAAATCACTTTTCTTGCTTCAGTTTTCTCATTTGAAGGAGGGCTATTAATAGTACCTACCCCATGGGGTTATTGTAAGAATTAAAGGAATATCAGTATGTATCTTGCCATAAAGTTGGCTACTGTACTTTTTCCAATGACAAAAGCCTCAGAGGTCTGGGCCGGTCGCTTTGTCCTGGCCTGGCCACCATCTAAGCAGAAGGCAAATTCCCTCCTCCCTGTCCACTGTGTCACATCTGTCGCCAACCTCTTGCTGGTTTATCGTCACAGTGCCTCTGACAGCCACCACCTTCATCCAGGGCCCCATCTCCTGTTTTGGGCCCTCATTGCCTTGGGCTGAGACTGTTACAGTTGCCTCCTACATGGGTCTCTTGTCTCCATCCTTCACAGAGTTGTCAGATCAATCTTTCTAGAACCCCATTCTCAGGTCATGTCACTCACCGGCTCAAAAACCTTCATTGGCTCCTAGGGGTGCAAGCCTGAAGCCTTCAATGCTTCAGTGCCCACTGTGCATCCCAGTTGGACCTCCCGGATCTTCTCCCACCTGTGGGCTTGCTTCCCCGCAACTCTTAGACTGTTTCTCAGATGTTTCTTACCGCTGTTCTTCTGCCTATGCTGCCCGCTTCTTAGATTGCCCTCTTCTGTGCTCAGCAACATTCTACCATCTTTGCGGTCCAGCTCAGATCCTGCCTCTTTCGGAAGTCCTCCTGAAACCCAGTGGGGCTTAACCCCTCTTTCCTCTCACTCGGCCCCCGTGTACCCTGGGGTTGCCCACTCTCTTCATGGGTACCTGACCTAAGTCTATCTGTACATGCTTCTGTGGCAAGGGTGGGCCTGCTCAGGGCGTATTCCCCACGGCCCTGGCACTGTGCTGGGGACAGAGATGGATCCAATAAGTTTGGGCTGGTTGATGGATTGTGGGAGGCCCTGGGTCAGCGGCTGTCCCATGGCACCTCTGCTTGCCAGCTCTGTGGCTCCTGAAACCTTCTTCTCTTTATTCCTGGTTGGTTTTGATCTCTGGGGCAAGGGAAAACCCTCAGCCCTTTGCCCTCCACCAAAGGAAGGGAAAGGATGAGATTTGGCTGGGAGTGGCACGAGTCTGGTCAGCTTACTTGTGCAGCTAATGCGTGTGTCTACTGGGGTGAGGCTGCAACCCTTTCCCCTTCTCATAGTCCTTCTTCCCTATCTCTGCTTCTTTACTGCTCTTGCCCTCCAGAGAATCCATCCCAGAAGACCATCAGGCCTTAGAGAGATCAGGGCAAAAGGAAGAAAGGAAAGGCCTCAACCAGGTATCCTCTTTCCTGTCCCTGCACATGACAACTCCTGGATCTGTGATGGGGAGGGCCTGTCTTGGGTGGGCAGGAGGCTCATGTACTGGTGAGCTCAGGGGCTGCTGGAACGGGCCCTTTAAGGTGGTCTGAAGGAATGCAGTACCTGAGGGCCTGTGAAAGTGTATCCGGGACGGAGGGCTTTTGCTTGCATCTGCTGATTCCCTTCTCCTGTGACTTCCTCTTTCAAGATCTCCTAGCCTCGATCCTCTACAAGCAGTCTCTATTTCCCTTGAACCCCCAGAGCCTTTCCTCTCTGCTTCTTGTTTGTCACTTAGGTTTTATGTCTTGTCATGGATTCCCAATTCTTCTTCTGGATTCCAGAGGAAACGGGTGACATTTTATGAACTGTCTATGAACTAGCTGCTCTGTGTACCGTATCTCATCTCATCTGTACCAGGTTGGTTTTTTAAAATCCCCATTTTATAGATAAGATAACTGAGGTTCCGCAAGATTAAATTGCCTATGACTAGTAGGTGTTCATCTGTGTTTCCTTTGCAGATCCTGGCACAGATCCCTCACACATAACAGACGCTCAGAAAATAACGGTGTGACACGTGAACTCTACCAAATCTTAGGGCAGCTCTGATGGAGGGTTACGGTTGGCAGAGAGTGGGATGTAATGTGAGAAGGAAGAGAGGACCCAAGGTCAAAGTACCCCACAGCCCCAACAGGCCGAGTGCTGGTCTGGCCGGCATTGCCCGCTGTCCTTATGAAGGCTGGGTGACCCCTGTGTCCCCGAAAAGCCTCCACCACTTACCTCCTGCTACCAGATTCCCCTCCGTCCACCTCAGGAAACTAGTGGGAGCCAACCCCTGCATGTCCATTGCTGCTTTCTCAGCGCCTTCTCTGAAAAGAGGGCAGGATAAAGCTCCCACATACAGAGCTTTCCTCCTTATGCCCAGCGAGGGTTAAGACATTTACAAACATTTTTGGAGGAGAGCGAGGGATGTACTGAGCAGTAATTGTGGAGCCTGGAGTAGAGCCCTTGGAGGAGGGAAAAGTTGAGTGGGATACAAAAACGTGGAGGTGATGAAGAGTGCCTGGGCCACTGGAAGGAGGGGAGCAGAGGGAGAAAGTTCATACATGCCAGGCTCCCAGCCTCTGGCCTGTGGTCAAGGACTACCCAGCAGTATAATTCCTGTCGGGTTTTCATCCTCTAACCTACACTTTTCTGAATTTTCTGAAACCCATTCCTTAAGTAGCCCAATTTTGGGGAAGAAGCCAGGAGATCTTGTCAGATGTTAACCGATTTCCTAGAACTGAAGAGATACGACAGGAGGGCAGCCCCGTGGGGGTTCACCCCAGCTCCAATCCCCAAGCTCTCTTGGCCCAAGTCCTCCACTAACCAGCTAGGGCCACGCCTCCATCAGACACCACTCCACGGCCGGGACAGGGTGGAGCGAGGGCCAACGCCCCAGGATGCGCCAAATGAGAGAGGCGTTCAGAGGAGATTCAGAGCTCTGCGTTCCCAAGGCAGGAAAAGCCGCGTTCCCGCCTAAATCCGCAAGATGGAAGTTGCTCCCTCTAGCTTTCCCACCAGCGAAAGCTGCTGGTTTTGTGAGTGACCCCTCCATTCGCGCCCAGGTCGGTTTCTAGCATTTACTCTTTTCCAGTCTTGCTCATTTAAAAATGCATCTAAAAAGGCACCACCAAGTACGCCTTAAGTGGAGCTCAGATCCGGTTTTGGGTAGGGCCGAAAGTTTACGAGGCACTGAGCGTACCCCACGCCAGCACACGGGGAGAGCGCGGCGCTGCATGCAGGAATGTGTGCGCCAGAGCCGAGGGGTGCAGGCAGCGCTAATGTATCTGAGGATATGTCAGGAGGGAGCGTGAAACGGGTGCCCTGCGTGCGTGGGTGTGTGTGTGCCCCCGCGTGTCCCCAGCCCCGCCGCCTCGCCCTTCTTGCCGGAACGTGTCAGCAACCTCACCTCTATTTCAGCCCCTTTCCCAGCCAGACGTTTCCTTTTTGGTGTTTCTGGGCGTTTATTGTAAATTCTGTGACTAAAACACGCCAGTAAGCCTGGCCCTTCGACAGATGGATCAATTGCCCCCTTCCAGGCTCGGGGAGGAGGACTGCCTCCGAAGCCTGGGATGCGAGGAGCTGCCCACTGCCCAGGAGAACTCCCCGGTGCCCAGCCCACTGCCGAGCGTGGGGCCGCGAGCCTCGCGCTTAGCCCTAGCCCGGGTAGTCTCTGGGCGCTCACGCCGGCGTGCGGTGCGAGCCCCCACCCGACCCATCGGCGTGGTTCGGGCAGGTTTGGCTGCCAGGGAGGCGGCGGTCAGGGCGCCCGGCTCGGCAGCCTTCTGCCAGCGCCAGGGAGGAGACAGCGGGGCAAGGGAGTCTCGAAGGGCTGCGACGCTAGGCGTGCGGGGGACAAGTGCGCCGCCGGCTTGCGAGGAAAGTTCTCGAGCTTCGCGTGGAGAGCACACGTGTATGTGTGCGAGGGGCTAGACCCGGGCCAACAGGCTGCACTGAGATGCTGGCGGCTGGCGTCCGAGGGGTCCTTCTTTTCCCTGGCGCCTCGGGGGAGACTCTCGGCTTCGGCTCCCCAGCCTTGGACGCAGCCGCACGCGGAGGGCGTAGCTCCCTCTCCAAACCCCAAACCGCCAAACGAGGTTTCTCTGTTGCCCCTCCTCCAACCCCCGGGATGGCTGGGGGTCCTGGACTCCACGCCCTAGAGCTTCCGCTGACCCTCCTCCGGCGTCCACAACTCGGTGGCCGAGGGGGCGGGGCGGGGGGGGGTAGTTGGAGAGCGCAGCCAGCCCGCAGCTTGGAGGGTGGCGTGTGGTGGGAGCGCGGAGGCTTTGGGGGGGGCTTGCGCTGCAGCCGGGAGAGCCCGTCCGTTTTCGGCCCAGGCGTCAGGTCAGTCCGGGGAACGGCGGGCGGCCGAGCTCTCCTTTCAGCTTAGCGTTCCCCGGCGCCACCGCCGTGCTCCGTGCCACCGCGGCAGAGTGTCGCTGCTCCGCCGCGCCCGCGCCCCGCGCCTCCAGTCGCCTGGGAGCCCCAGCGCCGAGCCCCTGGCGGAGGAGAGGGGCGCGGGCGCGAAAGCCGAGAGAGCCGAGGCGAGGGAGCTGCGAAGGGGGAAGGGGGCGGGTGGAGGGAGGAGCAGGAGAGAGGGCGAGGGGCGGGAGAACGGCGAGCGAGGGAGAGCTGGGGAGAGCGAGCGGAGCGCGAGAGCCAGAGAGCGGGCGGCAGAGGGAGGAAGGCACTCGCACGCCGAGGCTCGGGCACCAGAATTCCATTAGAAAAAAGTGAGCCGGCCAAGGGGTAGCGAAAGAAGGTTTTCGGAATCTTTCCTTCGTCTTGGAGAGAAAGAAGCGACTCCAGGCTCTCGTCCTCCAAGCTCTCGCTGGATTGCTCCCTGGCGCTGCCCCCATCGGTGGATTGCTTCCTATTTGCCTTTTTTTTTTTCTGACCCCCATCCTCGCCGATTCCTTCCAGCCCTCCACAGTCCCACCACCTCTCCCCCCACCTCCTCCGGCCCCTCCAGAGGCGCACAGGGGATCGGACCCACGGGGACCCGCGCCTCCCGGACCAGCAGAGGGACGGCAGACCTCAGGATCGCTGTCGGCTGGGAAGCAGACCGCCACAGATATACCTGTGCATTTGATTTTAGTGGGCAAGGGGGCTTCGAGAGGTGCCCACCGCCCTCCTTTCCCCACCCGCTCCAGCCAGAGGCGAAAATCGCAGGACTCAGGATATTCATCGGGTGGACTAGCTGGGATCTCCGCATTGGATTTGGGGCTGATTATCACTGCTTGGCTATTATTATTGTTATTTTTATTTTACCTAAGGGAGAAAGACAAAAAAAAAAAACACCCAAAAACCAAAAACCTGTGGGATTTATTTAACATGATCTTGGCAAACGCCTTCTGCCTCTTCTTCTTTCTAGGTGAGTACCTGCGGGCGGTGAGGGCAGCAGGTCCGCTGGAGCCTGGGGTGCCGCGCGGTGCTGCGCGTCCGGGCGCCAGAGAGCAGCCGGGGACTTGGGGATGGGGGGGGGGCGGCGAGCGGGGCGCCGGGGAGCGAGCCTGCCCGGGCGCTGCCAGCTGAGCGGGGCTGGGCGTGAGGCTGCGGGCAGAGGGCAGGAGTCGGGGTTGGCTGGTTACACGAGGGGATCTGTTAGGAGACTTAGAACGCCCAAGCCATCCCCGCATACACGCACGCACACACTCGTCATTCACACAACGATAGCACTCATTTCTCTCAAAATAATGGGCAACTTAAGAAAAAAAAATTCAACTCTTGATCTGGAAGAGAGGAGGGAGGGACAAGACTCGGTATCGGGAGAGAAAAATCCTGCCAGTCTGTCCTTTCTCGACTCCCCAGTCGATCGTGGTGGAGGGCGTGAGTATTTCTCCAGGAGCCCCTGGTTGGACATCTGTGAGGCGAGGGCTGGCAGCCATCCCTTACCTAACAATCAACCTCTGGAAAATGCACCCCGTTACCAACTCCCTGAACCTCTTCCTTCGGCTCTCCTCCCTGGTACACTTTTCAAGTTTCTCCCACCCTTTGCCCTCCTCTATGCCCAGGCCCAGCCACAGGGGTGGGCGGGAGTGGAGGGTTGTGAGTAGCGTTCTCCGCTTTCCTTTTCTCACCTCTGGAGGCCGGGGACCCTGTAACTGGTGGGAAGAAGAAGGAGGGAGGCCAAAGTTTGCTTCCTTGGGTGATGGAGGAGGAGGGCTGAAAAAGCCAGATCGGATGGGAGATTGCTGCTTATTCTGTAAAACCCCAAGGGCAGGGGGGAGGGGCTGCCTGGTGCTGGCGACCCGGGCAGTCTCTTTCCCACCCAGAATTCCCAACCCTTGTCCCCTCTTTTATGCTAGATGAAACCTCAGCGGCTTGGGAAGTTGGTATAGAGAAAGCATGCTGGGAGTGGAGGTGAGGAGAAGAGGGTGCTTGCAAGGCTGTGTGTTGACGAGGAGTCCCAGGCAAGGCTGCTGTCCTGGAGCAGGTGCTGGGTGATGTGTGTGTGTGTGTGTGTGTGTGTGTGTGTGTGTGTGTGTGTGTAAGTGTAAGGAGCACATTCTTGCTTTAGTGTGGGCGCTATTCCTACCACCCTGGCCTGCTGTGTAGCCAGTGGTGAGGCAGGCTGCCTAGCTGGGTCAGGAGTGCACCCTGTTCCTCTTGAAGGAGGGGAGAGGGGAAGGCCTGGGGAGGTAGGTGCTGGTCTCAGAAAGATGTGGGTGGTCTGATAAGTGCCCTCCTGACTAGGACTGGGGATTCCAGCCAATGTTGGTTGGGCCCTTGGCCCTGTCCACCCCTTTGTCCACCCCCACGAGTTTCCCAGGGGGCTTAGCCCTGCTCTAGGGTGTGGTCTCCACTGTTCTGCTGTCCTAAGCCAGAGGCAGCTTCTCAAGTGGGAGGGGCTGAGGGAGGAAGGTGGGTTGGTGTTCTGGGCCCACTGAGATCCTGTGGCCTTTCCCTGCAACCCTCTGCAAGTGGGCTCTTGTTCAGAAGGGGCTGCTATAAAACCTGACCTTTTCTCCCACTGGTTTGAAAACCCAGCTTTCTGGCACCAAGTAGAAAAATAAAATTATATTTTGTGGAAAAGCAGTCAGATTGCATGCTGCTGAGCTGCTCACACCCTAGGCCTGCAGGACTCCCAGGCAGCCGTGTCTTCTGAGCACCCAGGGTGGCAGAGAGCTGCATGGTTCCCTCGGTGATTTCCAGCCCCGACCCCCGTGTTGCAGGCAGGTTTCTCCCAGCTGAGAGGGCTGAGGATCCTCTCTGTTCTTATGGTACATGTGTAGGGGTGTGTGTGAGAGCATGTGCTGGTCAGAGATGCTCACCCTGGGGCATGCGACCCTGGGGGCTGAGTGGTGAGAGAAGGGGGTGAGAGCAGTAGAGGAGTGGGGTCAGCAGCCCCTTTGGTCAGAGCCCTTCAGTTCCTGTCCCTTGAGAAGTCCCTTTCCAACACTTTGTGAGGGGTTAACTGAGTGACCACAGGACGTTGAAAGGCTCTGGGTTAGGCCAGCCAAGAAGGAAGGGATAAGTTGGTGACAAGGAAACTTCAGCCCCAGGGCCCCTTTCCTGGCAGGAAGCCCATAGTTGGGAGTTGGTTGGAAATGCCATTTGGGGAGAGGTTTTCCTGGAGCTTGGGTTGGGGGCATGGTGAAGCATGTTCTCAGGAGCAGGGCCTTTAGGGTGCCCCCCTCAAGGTTCTGAGTGTGGTCTGGGGGTGGAGAGGCGTTTCTGACCCAGCCATCCTGACGTCCAGTGTTGACATGCCCATGGAGACAAAGAGATGGGGAAAGCTACTTGGGGTGAGGGTTGGAGGGTCCGGTCAGAGGGCCCACTTCCAACTGGCATCCTAGCTCTTGTGGGGACCTCCGTGCAGGAGGGTGGCTGTAGCTCTGTGTAGTCGCTTAGTCTCCAGTGTCTCTAGAAGCTCTTCCATGTGTCTTTCTTGATGGATCTGAGTTTTCTCCTGATCTAGAACTTGGAAACCACCACGATACAACATTCCGACCTTTACTCTCTCAGAATTCTTGGCCATGAGTTGCCATGATTTCTTTCTCTGGCTGGGCTTGAATGCTTCCGGGGGTCATGACACCAAGTAGAAGAGTCTGGGACAGGTGGCAATCAGGCAGTTTGGTGAGAGGATGCATGATCATCGCCTGCCCCAATCACATGTGCCAGCTGGCAGGATTGGGGAAGCCCTTGCTTTTGGCATAGGAGCCGGGATTCTGTAAGGATGATCTCTAGGGCTCTAGGCCCCACCTGTAGGGTAGGCAGGGCAAGTGTTCTTATTGTCCCAACCCCTTGGGCTAATATCCTGATTGTCAAGCTTGCTGAGGGTGCCCCTTTCTCAGTCTACCTCAGGCATAGTCAGTATGGGAGGTGAGAAGCCTGCTGGGATGCTGGGATGCCGGGAAGTCAGTGGAAAGCCAAGGACTGGGTTGGTCTTAAGGCTCCAGCTGGCTGGCTGGCTTGGCTAGGTGGAGGCAGCAGGTGCAAGTGAGGTGGGGTCAGCTCAGCTGCTCCTGGTGGCCCAGATGCACCAGGTCCTGCTCAGGGACCTAAGAATTTGCTGAATCCGGGAAGTAAAGCTGCTGCCTCGGCTTGGAGGGTGGACAGGGTCTGGGCAGATGTCCCACTGTCCGTGCTGGCGCTCCATGCTCGTTTCTTCTCGCTTCTTCAGCCTCCAGCTTTTCCTGTCCTGAGGCAGAGGTATGGTTGGTGGGCGAAGGAAATGTCTATTGCGCTGGCCCCCGAGGTTTTCTCCAGGCCTACCCCTTGCTCCTCTTCAGTAAGCCTCCTTCCCCTAGGAGCGGATTCCTTTCCCTCCTTGGCTCTTTCCTTCCGCTGGCTCTTGGCTCTTTCAGGAGGGACAGGTTCACAGTGCAGCGCTTTACCTCTAGGTGTCGCTGTCTCCCTGCGGTAGCTCCCCCCTGGGCGGGAAGGTGGGTGGGGGTGGGGGGTGGAGAAGGAGTGAAAAGTGGCCATTCTGAGTAGAGATGGGGAGATTCTGAGGAGGAGACTTCTGGCCTAGGATCATATTATGTTTTGGGGTAGGATGGAGTGGAGAAAGCTTTTGAAATCACTCCTTGGGTCTTGGAAAAGGCAGTCTTGGTTATAGGCCATGGTATGGGCTTTTTCTGGGGCAGGATCTGGAATGAGGGGCTTGGAGAGGACAGAAAGACGGGGAAGATGTCTATGATGGAGGAAACCATGTTGGGAGTTTGATTTTGAAAAGGTCACGTGGACCTCTTCCTGCCCTTCACCTCCGAATCTTCTTCCCTGATCTCCCCCCCTCCTGAGGACGGTGGGTTTGGACACTGGGGGTGAACGAGGAGAAGGGGGGACCTTCACTTTTGGAGAAGCTGGACTCCATGTATGAGACCGGGGCCGAGGAGCGATGCTCTTTCCCTTTTGCAATTGACTTAGTATTTGCCTTTTGGAAAGAAGAAAAACAGGGAGAGACAGAGGGCAAGACAGCTTCAGGGGAGGGTGGGAAGAGAGGAAAGAAAGAGAAAAAAGAAACAGGAGGTGACTGAGAGAGACTGGGAGATGGCTAGGGAGAGACAGAGGACAAGGCTATTCAAAGCGAGATGGGGATAGAGAGGTAGACTTCTTAGGAGGAAGTGAGAAAGAGAAAAAGTAAGATAGAGAAACAGGAAAAAGGTGGAGAGAGAGAGAGAGAGAGGGAGAGAGAGAAAATGGAGCTGCTCTCAGGCTTACCTGCTGCATTTTCTTGGGTGGGGGCCGGGGTGGAGATTGTCTGTGGAGGGCATGGTTTCAGGTCTTGGCTGCTCTGAAGCTGGACTGGGAGGCGTGGAGGGGCTGGGTGGGAATGTGGCAGCCCCTCCCTCTGGGCACACCTCAGACCATGGACAGGCTTGTCTCGGGGTCTTCTCTTTAAGTCTAGGAGCTCAGAATGAATAGGCTAGGGGTTCAAGGGGCCTTTTCAGCCTGTGTGTGACTTGAGTTGTCATCTCCCTTTTTTGGGCCACAGTTTCCTTAGGGTAAAATCTGGGGCCTGGACTCTGGCGTCTAAGGACCTAAAGGCTGTGAAAGTTAATTCCCTTCTGCTCCTTGGTGGACCTCTGGCTGATAGGAGGCGTGGGAGCTATGAATGTATTCCTCCCTCTGCACACGCCAGCAGGCCCTGTACCCTTGAAGCTCTCTGCTGCGGCTGTCACATTCTTCTCTGGCTTCCTGGCATCTTGGACTGCCTGTGGTCTTGCCCGAGAGTCTTCTGGCTTTACAGTGCTTTGCTTCCAGGTCTAGCGCACATGCTGAGGGGCGTGTGGTTGGAGCTGGAAGAGAACCCGATAGAGCCTGGGAAGAACGGCAGCTTGAGTTCTCCTTGGGGTTTGAGGAAGGCTGTTGGTTGTCTTGGGACCAGCAGCCCTTCCTGGGACCTGATCTGTTGGGAAAGGTGGCATTGAGTGGGCCTTGATGTGCTTTGCCGTAAATGGGTGTGAGGTTCCAGAAGGGCCCACCCCCCCCAGCCCTGCATCTTGGGTGGGAGACTGTGGTGGCCCTCACTCATGCTTGTCTTCCTCCCCACCACCCAGAGGAGACCCTCCGCTCTTTGGCCAGCCCTTCCTCCCTGCAGGGCCCCGAGCTGCACGGCTGGCGCCCCCCGGTGGATTGTGTCCGGGCCAATGAGCTGTGTGCCGCCGAATCCAACTGTAGCTCCCGCTACCGCACGCTGCGGCAGTGCCTGGCTGGCCGGGACCGCAACACCATGCTGGCCAACAAGGAGTGCCAGGCGGCCCTGGAGGTCCTGCAGGAGAGCCCGCTGTACGACTGCCGCTGCAAGCGGGGGATGAAGAAGGAGCTGCAGTGCCTGCAGATCTACTGGAGCATTCACCTGGGGCTGACAGAGGGTAAGCCTGGCGGGGCCGGGGAGGTGACTGATCTGTGTGTGTGTGTGTGTGTGTGTGTGTGTGTGTGTGTGTCACGCTGCGGTTCAGAGGGAGGACTAGGTGATGGAGTGACCTGGCCAGCTTTCTATTCCTCTCTGCTGGGGGAGACTAGATCCCCAGGAAGTAGCTGCCCAACCCAGGAGGCAGCTGAGGAAGAGAGAGGGTGAGGTGGTGGGAGGGGAACAAGGCTGGAGAAAGAAGCCGGAGCAGGAGTTGTGGGGAGAGGAAGTAAACCAGGGACCGAAGGACCTATGACCATGTGAAGTGGTCACAGGAGGTGAGGAAGAGTCCCGGGCAGATGGAGACGTGAGAACAGAGGAGAGAGAAGGGTGGACATGCAGAGCTGAACTGCCAGCCCGCCAGCCCTGTTATTCCCACGGTCCGCCCACCCAGCTGAGGGCTGGCCCCTCCCCGTTCTTTCTGCTCCCGGGAGGCCTGCGCGTGAGGAGGCTTCCTGACCCCATGACTGGCCTAGGCACCTTCTACAGAGCTGGGAGCAATGTGAAGGCAGCAGGTCCATATCATTCGGCAGTCCTGTCCCCTGGTCCCAAGGCGGAACCTGCATTGCCCCCCCACCCCCACCTGCCACAAGACCACCTCCCCTAGGTTCTTCCCCTGCAGACTAGAGTGTAGACGATTTGCATATTCTATAGGAGGGTTGGCCACCTGGGTCAGACGTCCATTTATTTATTCAACAACTGTTTGAGAGTTTACTGTCTGCTAGGCCTTGTGGGAACAGTCAAGAACAAGCTGGGGCTGCCTCTGCCTTCATGGAGTTCATAGTCTGGGGGTGCAGATAAGTGAGGGGCTTTCTGCATTTGGTGGTGTGAGTGCTGCCGGAAGCACTGGGTGCTGTGGTAGCACTGAGGGGCATCTAACCCCTTGTTACAGAACCCAGAGAGCCTTCCTGGAAGAGCCAGCCTCCCAGCTGAGAGTAAAGAGTGTGGTGCAGTTACATGGTGAAGGGCTATGGGAAGCATGTGAGAGGTACAGGGAGGGCTGGGTAAAGGCCTGCATGGGAGAGAGCTGAACTCACTTACACACCCGCAGGTGACTCAGTACCTGGAGGGGGATGGGGCGGGGCAGGGGTGAGGAGAGGTGGGGGGCACGGGATCTGGTGGACAGCAGGGAGCCTTGGATGGTTTTAAGTGAGATCATCCTGGAGCTCTGCTTCAGGACAATGCTCATGTGGTTCCGTGAAGAGAGCAGACTGGAGAGACTGGAAGGTACTCTGTGACACAGGCCAGGAATCATGGCGGCTGAACAAGGATGGGTCCAGAAAGCAGAAGGACCCAAGAGCTAGGCAGGAGGTAGAACCCACAGATCTTGGTGAAGGGAGTGAAGAGTCATGGAGGGACCCTGTTTCTGTCTTGGGAGACTGGATGGGTGGTGGGGCCGGTCACAAGAGCAGCAGAGGTTTTGAGTGGGGGGGAGGGCAGGGAGATGATGAGTTTATTTGGGGTCATGTGCCTCATTGGCCATGCCCTGCAGACAGCTGGGGGTGCAGGGCTGGAGCTCAGGTGACATAGAGATTTAGGAGTTGCCAGGAGCCTGTAGGTAGGAACCAGGGCCAGGGGAGTGGGTGCAATCACCCTGGGAGGGGAGCAGGGACACAGCCCCCAGAACCACCAACATTTAAAGATGGGCAGGCGAGGAAGGGGGGGCCTGCAAGGGTGACTGAGGAGGCTCAGGGAGAGGTGGGGGGACAGCAGGAAACCTGGGAGGAGCTCACTCTCAGAAGGAAGGAGTGTACCAGCCTCCAGTACTTTAGGTCCCGTGGGAGAGAGGGTGAAAAAGTGTCCCTGATGCCTTGGGGTCGAGCTCGTTAGGTGGCTGGGGGCAGTAGCCTGGTTAGGGAGTGAATGAATGTGGACAACGACTTGTAGAATTTTGGTGTGAAGAAGAGAAAACAAAGGATAACTTTTTTTTTTTTTAAGATGTGAGAAGGTTGAGCAGTTGAAATTCTAAAGCACTACAGTAGTGATGGAGGTGCTGAGGTGAAGGAAAGAGGGGTGCTCTGTGGATAGTGCCTGGGCGAGGGGAGGAGGTGATCTCAGGGAGGGGTTAGCCTTAGGTCAAAGGAGCAACCCCGCTCCAGGTGCTGGAAAGAAGGTGGAAATGGACCAGGTATGGAGGGTGGATAGCGAGGGGTTCCTGACCCACTGTGGCCAAGGTAGTTCAATTATGCCCTGAATATAGGAATAAGACTTGCATATAATTATTAATAGTATCACCACCATTAATGACAAAGTGATTCTTCATGAATCAGGTGGTCACCCTCCCTCTCCATTTCTGGCAACCTCAAAGTCCTAGAACTGGAAATGAGTAAAGAGAGGGTTCCATGCACTTTGTTCTCTGTGTGTGGAGCTGTCTGCGCCCCAGGCTGACTCTGTATTGCACAGAAAATTAAGGTCCCTGATTCAGGGAGCAGGGTTGTTTAGTTTCTTGTTTTCTTTCCTGCGGCTTTCCGTTTCAACCCAAGGGAGATTGGGCAGTAGGTTGGGGTGGGCGTGCTGTGTGCTGTGGAATGCAGAGGGGAGGGGACAGAAGGACTGCCAGCCAGAAGGACTGGGTGGGCCACCTGGGAACCTTCCCATCTGATGGGCTCCCTCTCACATCACCGCATTGGAGCACAGAGGACCTTCTGATCATACCTGGGGCAATGAGGTGTTTGGATGATAACAAGCATAATGTGTGTTTATGCTGTGGACTGCCCTGTGGTCTTGAAGTCCGTTTCCACCCAGGAATGCCAGGGTGGAGATGGCTCAGTTCCAAGTCCTGAGATGGTTTGTTGGTTCAGTTACTCAACAAACATCTGTTAAGCACCTAGTGTGTGCTTCAGAGGGTGACAGCATGAAGAAGCCATGGTCCCTGTGCCGGCCAGCATACAGGCTGGGAGGCCCTTCCCCTGGGCCCACTCTAGAATAGCAGACCTCCAGTTTTTCTCATTCCTCAGAACCCTGCCTCCTCCCTGGGTCTTGGGGGCCAGAGGAAGTTTCTGCCCAGGGCTGACCAGGGGAAGCCAAGAGGCCTTTGAAGAGCAGGTAATGTTCCTGTGAGTGACAGTATCTATCTGAGAGTTAGTTATCCAGGTCGTGGGGGAAATGGTCCACCTAGCGCTTGCTCCCTAGTCCTTAATAAACCTAATAACCTGGCTTGGGCCTGGGTGGGGTGGGGGAATCGGGAGAGACCTCTGTGGGTCTGGACTTTGATTCTTGGCTTCTCCTTGACCCCTGCTGGTGCGTGAAAGTCCCCTGGAGAGCTGGCCCCACACCTCTTCCTCTGCCTGAGGCTGAGGCTCTCAGCAAGTGGCAGGAGACGGTGGTGGCAGGAATGTGGCCTCTACCGCGCTCCTAGATGGTCCCAACAGCAAAGGACCTAGAGATATTTGGTCCCACTCCTGTTTTGATGGGGAAGCTGGTGTGCAGGGAGGTGAGGTGGTATCACAGCCAGCTAGTGGTGGGACAGGCCCCTGACTTCTTATCCGGCCCCTTTACCCTGACCTGGGGGAGGTCCCGTGGCCTTGGGCCCATCTTCCCCTTTCGTTGTCACCACCACCATCACTGCCGGTCTTTACAAGGTGAGGCTGTTACTGTTGGCTGCATGGGGAACTTGAGGCCAAGCTCCTTGCCTTCTCCAAAGGCGATGCTGAAGTTCAGGGTCGCCCTGGTTCTTCAGATGTGAAACACCAAGGCCTCTCCCGTATGTCCTCTCCCGGGGCATGGCCCAGGAGCCTGATGTCCTGATTTGGCTTCAGTCTGGCTGCCGGGGATGCCTGCGTGGCCAGGCCTTGGATTTCCCACTGGTGAATTCTGTTGACTTAAATAGGATGGGCCTTTCCCAGCCAGTCCTGGGATAGGCCGTTTCCCCCCAGAGATCCCCTAGCTAATCGCACTGGCTGATCTGTACCCAGGTGCAGAGCTGTAGCAGATGCAGCAGGGGAGGACAGGCCCTGCTCTGGGCCAGCAGTCCAGCTGGTGGAAGACTGGTCCTGTGAAGCGCGAAAGCACAGCAGTACTTGTTTAAGAACAGTGTGGCTTTAATAACACTTTATTTTTGGAGACAGCCTTCATAGTGATGAAGTACTAGACTCTGTAGCCAACTGCCTGGGCCTGAAGGCTGGCCCTGCCACTTTACAGCTGTGTAACCTTGGGCAAGTTACTTCGCGTCTCTGTGCCCCCGTTCCTTATCTGTAAAATAGGGAGACTAATGGACCCCACCTCACAGAGACATTAAGAGGATTAAATGAGTTAGGACATCTAAAACACGTTCAATAGGGTTGGCGCATGGAAAACACAGTGTCACATCATTTTTATTATACAAGTGCTTCCTGAGTGCTTATGTTATTTGGCCCCAACAACTAGCACTGGCTGGTGACCCCACCACAGGGAGTTTCTCCAGGGTCGGTGGGTAGAGTGGAGGACGCTGAGATCATACAGGTCCCATGGGGAAGGGGGGGTTATAAACCGGTCTGAAGGAATGAGGAACGTTTGGATCAGGTCAATCGTCAAATACCAATCGGGTACCCATTGTGCGTAAGGCTGTGTGTTGGGTGTTGTAGGGCATGAGGTTGTACTGCTATGAGGTCAAGTGAAGGGCGGGGTCCTTTCTCCAGGGGGAAGGCACTTCCCATGTTATCTGGGGGTGTATGCCCTTTTCGGGGGGTCTGCCAATATAGCAGACAGACGCCTTGCTCTGTACCATCTGAGTGTTGGTAAGGCCTTCAGTCCTAGCCTCTGGATGACCTCAGGGACCTGGCTGACCAAGCCGCCCACAGACGGATTCCCAGGCCTGCTTCTGGATGGCTGGCACCTTGCTGCAGGTTGCCCCCATGGGTGCTGCCCACGTGGGCTCCCCTCGGCAGGGGCTGCCTGCCATGGCGCCGGGCCCTGGGTGGGTGGGAGACAGGTGTGTGAGATGGGTCATCAGTGTCTCCTCTGCCCCTCAACACACACGCGCAGCCTGAGTGATTATTCATTGATTTCTTCTCACAGTAATGTCTCAAGAGCATATTTCCTTTCCTGTGAGGTGTTGGCAGAGGGGGCGGGAGACCACTGAGGCGGTGGAGGCTCTCTAGGGCAGCCCTGTGCCGTTTATCTCCTGTCGCTCCCTTGCTGTTCCTTTCGCCGAGCCCCTGACGCTCTCAAAGTCTCCAGGAGAGGCCTGAGGAGCCAGCAGGTGGTGGTGAAGACAGGCAGGGAGTGTAGGAGGGGGTCAGGCTCACAGGAGCCGGGGATCAGGCCTCTGCTGAGCCGACCGTTAGCCCTGTGTAATTCTGGTGTCATGATGGGATGCAGAGAGGATAGCCTGTCCTCTCAAGTGGCCTGAGCAGAGCCAGCCTGGTGTGATGGGAGAGAATGCCAGTGTGAGGGCAGGGAGACCAGAGTCTAGCTCCAGTGCTGCTGTGAGTAGCTGTGTGATCTCAGGCAGTTTGCTTCCCCTCTCTGGGCCACCTCTGAGCCCTCTCTTGTGAAATGATGATGTTGTATTGACTGGTCGGACCTGGTCTTCCGCAGGCTATCATGGTCTGCCTCCCCTTTGCCTTCTTTCCAGAAGCATTTGGAAGTCCTTAGAAGAGGGCTAGTTGTGCTGGGAAGTCACGAGAGTGAGAGAGAGGGATTAGGCAGCCTGACCCGCTCTGGGGGACCATCTATTCTAGCTGGAGGAAATACCTCGCCTATGCGACATGACCAACATTTCATTCATAACTTGTCCATTCACTTTGGGAAGAGGGCACTCATGCCTGACGCTGTTCTCTCTTCCAGGTGAGGAGTTTTACGAGGCCTCGCCCTACGAGCCGGTGACCTCGCGCCTCTCAGACATCTTCAGGCTTGCTTCAATCTTCTCAGGTAAGTGGGCTTGTGCTGGGGCCTCGCTGGTTCTCCTCGGTGTGGCAGGTGGATAGACCCCTGGGCTTGGCTCAGGTGTCCTGCAAGCCACTTTACATTTCTGAGCCTCCCGTCCTCATCTGCAAACCGGGAGACATAACACTCGCCCCAAGGCTGTATATGGAGTGAAGCAGTTATGGGAATTGCCTAGCATGAGCCTGCCACGCCGCGGGTCTTGAATCCGAAACTTGACATCCCTCTCTTATTCTGTCACCTGTTTTTGCCCTACTGAGTCCTTTCCAGTTCCCCAGCTCTGCTTTGGAGCTCTTTTGCTTTGGTTGAGTTGCGCAAGCTCTTTGGGCCTCAGTTGCCTCAGTTGTGCAATGGAGAGGTTGTCATGAGCTCTGAATGAGCCAGCGGTTGTAAAGGGCTCAGCATGCTGCTGGGTGAGTGTTCAGGAAGCGTTAACTGTGTCTGTTGGCATTAGTGTCACTGTCATTCATTGTGTTCTGGGTTCCCCACTCCTATGAGGGCTCCACTCACTCCTTGCACCCCAATGAGGAGTTCTCTTAGGAAGAGCTCTGATCCCTGGTCACTCCCACCCTGTCTTTCCCCAGAGTGAGAAGGCTCAGGCTGAACTTCAGTTTTGCTTGCCACAGTCCACAGGTGGGACCCCGATGAGTTTTTTGGTTCTTCTTCTCGGCCTTGTTCCCTCTGCATTTGGGGGACCAGGGGACAGCCAGTTCCTGCCCGGGCGCTGGAGAGAGGCTTCTGATCTTTAGAACTGCTCTGTGGGGGATGAGGGTGAGCTCTTCCTGGAGTAACCACTGGTGCTTGAAGGTGGCAGGGTGGGCTTGTTCCTTGGGACCCCTGTGTTATAGGGTCCCGGGTTTCCAGATGGTTTGTGGCAGTATCTGAAGTCCTCTGAAGTTCCTTTTGCTGTAAACCAGGGTTTCTTAACCGCACCACTATTGACATTTTGAGCTGGGTCATTCTTGCAGGAGGAACCGTCCATCTTGTGCATTCTAGGATGTTTGGCAGCGTCCCTGGCCTCTGCCCACTGGTGCCAGTAGCGCCCCCTCCCCAAGTTGTGACAATCCAAAATGTCTGCAGACATTACCTGGGGGCACAGTCACTGCCAGTTGAGAAGCAGTACCCTAAACGGCGACACAAAAGATTCCCCAGTGAAACCCTAAGCCCTTTCAAATGAAGAATTCTCTAGGAGAATGTTGCTCAAGCTCCCCTCCCCCCCATTATTATCCCCCTAAGGAGAAAACTTAATTCTCTCTAACTAGAGAAATACTGTCTTAGTCTGCTTGGGCTGCCATAATAAAATATCATAGACTGAGTGGCTTAAACAGCATAAATCATCTCACAGTTCTGGAGGCTGGAAGTTCAAGGTCAAGGTCCGGGAGAGTTTGGTTTCTGGTGGGAGTTTTCTTTCTGATTTGCAGGTGGCCACGTTTTCACTGTGTCCACACAGGGCTGGGTGGGACAGGAGAGTTGGTGGAGGGTGGGAGGGGGAAAGAGAGAAAGAGAGAGAGAGAGAGAGAGAGAAGGAAGAGAAGGGAAGGGAAGGGGAGGGGAGGGGAGGGAAGGGAAGAGAAGCGAGATATCTTCCTCTTCTTATGAGGAGCCCTATTAGATCAGGGCCCCACCCTGATCTAATATGACCTCATTTAACTTTACCTCCTAAAAGCCCTCTCCAAATACAGTTACATACAAATACAACTCTTTGAGGAGCACAATTCAGCTCATAGCAAATGCCAAGGAATAACATTTTCTCAGACAAAGTTGAGTTTTGGAGGGCCACAAACCATTGTAATATCTACTTTTTGCTGAATCAAGTTTTGTTCCCTTGAAAATGCATGTCTAATGGGTTGGGATGAGACAATACGCATGCACCTGGTGGGAGAAATCCTGGACCCACCCTGAGAGAGGAGGCACTGGTTAAGCGGTGGCCATTTGGGCATGCCCATTGGCTTGGTGGTGGTGGTGAATGGAATGAAGACTTCAAAGTTGGGTGTTGAGCACCCTGCCCTGGGCTCTACCATCACAGCCCCTTGGTGGGGTAATAGCAGAGATGTTTGGCTCAGGGCAGGTTTCCATCTGGCTCTGCCTGTGGGCCCTGTGATAATTCTGTGATAAGCCTTGCCTATCTGACAGGGCTACACTGGATGAGGGGCTGACTGAGGTTCCTCCTAGTACACACATTCTGATTCTCACATTTCCTGATTTGTTTTGGATAGAAATTTGCCTTGGACTACTGCTTTGAGACAGTGCTTGGGGGCACAGATGCAAGTGGAAGGTATGGTTGACCTGTGGATGCTATGGTGGGGATGCCTTCTTGGCTCCGATGTACCCATTTGCCACCCTACTAGTAGCTCAGGTGCCAGTTGAGTACTGCTGCATAGGCGGGAGCCATTGGGTTTACCTCCAGTAAAGAAATAGCTTTAGCTTGCTCCATGGGCTGAAGGTCAGAGGTCCTCATCTTAGCCAGGCCCGTGCTGCTTCCCAGACTCACATTAAGTATCTTCTTAGCAGAAAATCTTTACGTAATGGACTTGACACTCTGTGCGACAAGGGTGTTGACAAGACAAATGAGGAAATTACTGGGTCTGCAGCTCACTGAATCAACTTCCTTTACCTGCTGCTCAGATGGAACTGGGCGCACACAACCCTGGGTCCCTGGTCTCTGGAGACTGCTCCTCACAGTGAGGACAAGACTTCAGGGTCTGTGACAAATCCCTCCTCATTGCTCCTGGTGATGTGCCCTAGAATTGGTGTATGGGCAGCTCTGCCTGGGGAAACTTGGGTGCATAGCTGGGTGGGGAGGCCCTGGCCCTGCTACCAAGAAACCAAGCGGGCCATGGTGAGCTCAGCAGTGACAAGGCTGGCTGGGGAGCTGGGAGACCTGGGTTCCAATGCATTCTCTGCCACAAATCAGCTGAGGGGCTTGGTCAGGTCACTTCCTGCTCCAGACCTTACGTTTCCTTTCTGAAGAAGGAAGACATGGGTTTAGAGCAGTATTCCCCAACCTTTTCCCATCAGGGTGCCTAGACAACAGCAGTATTGTTTGGTATACTAGGGTGAGCAGAGCAGCTTGGAGCTCAGGCAATCACAGGCCCTTGCTTGGCTGCCCTGTGGGCCAAGGGGTGAGTATCTGGCAACACGTGTCACCGCCTGTAGCTTCCTGACTGGGCAAGACTGGGCTGGGTGACCCAAGATCCTGCACTGATGCTTTGGGATGATAAGGTTGCCGCCCTGTATTTGGCTGTATGCTGCCCTTCCACCACCTCTGTGTGGAAAGACTGCGGCAGGGAAGGCTAGAGTTTTGGTGGCCGTCCTCTAGGCACACTGCCCCCACTTGGGGCCCCAGAGACTCCGAGAAGGGTGCTGTTGTATCTGGGGGGCTCAGTTGCTACTTTCCCTTTATCATCTGCTATCTGAGAATTTGAAGCCCTGGTGCAGGGCCTCCGAGAATGTGTGTTCTTTATCTCTGGCCTTCTCTTTCTGCTGGGGTTCTTGGAAAGTCCCACTGGGATTCTGTTGACAGAAAGCTGCCAGGATTTCCCCAACACTCTGGACACCAGATACCATGGGGGAAGGGTGAGTCCTCCCCGCCTCTCTTTCTAGTTCAGACGTAGGCCCTGGCTCAGTGACTGGTTCTGAGATTCCTGGTGTCCAGTTAGTCCCAAGTCCAAGGCCAGGAAGAGAGGTCTGGGTCTGCCCTGAACCACAGCGACAGTGGTTGGAGGCATCCAATGTCCTAGCCTAACCTTATAGATGGGACAGAAGAGTTCATAGAGAAGTGAGGTTTGTCCTGGTTCAAGCAATTCAAACTGCCCTTGAAAACACGAAATGGAGTATTCGGTACACCAGTCCCACCTGGTACATGGGACTAGCGTGGGCCTTGAGCCACCCAGCTCTGGGTTTGAATCCTGACTCGTCCACTTACGGCTGTGTGATCTTGGGTCTTACTGTGGCCTATTGGAGCTGTGGTGCTCATGTTTGTCAAGTGGGAGTGTGATACCTGCTAATAAGGCTGGTAAGGAGAATTCAACGAGGGTAGATATAGGCAGAGTGACAGTGAGTCGTCCTCTGTCGGCTAAGTCAAGGCAGGGTACCTTCTAGAGGGGATACTGGGGCGGAGGAGCTAAAGGTGAGAGTGCTTCTGTCCCCAGGTGCCTATGACCGTGTGAATACTGAATCCCAGCTGGTCCTATGTGAGGAGGCAGGAGAGGATGGAAAGAGGCGGAGAGAAGAGAGAAAGGCTTCTTAGGGAAAGAAGACACTGTCCGAGTAGAGGGACGTGGAGGGGCGACGTGGAGACTGAGGGAAGCATGAATGCCCCATCCACCTGGAGGGAGGCCAGCAAAGTGAGGATGAAAAGCCTTGGCGGGCCAGGCAGTGGTTTTCCTCACAACCACAGGCCCTGCCTGAGGGAGAAGTGACAGGCAGATGGCCTCGGCGGGGCCGTCAGCAGGCGCTGCCTTGGCAGCCTTGGTGAGGGGCGGGGGCCTCCGGGCCTCCAGCATCCAGTGCAAGCGTTGCCAGATGCCTGGGTATGAGACATATTTATGCCAACATGTCTTTTCTGTAGCTGGAAGGGAACTTTGAGATCATCCAGGCCGGTCCCTTCCCCTGACAGGAAAGGAAACTGAGGCCCAGGGAGAAGGTACAGACGTAGACCAAGGTTCGAATCCTCGTTCCGCCCCTGCCCAGTGTGTACCTCAGCAGCTGCCTCACTTCTAAGCCCATTTCCTCTGGCATAACATGGGGCCGATAGAAACCCCTGCTTCTGGGGTTTTGTAAGGACTACGTGAGATATAGCGGAGATGTGCTTGACCTCGTGCCTGGCGCATTGCACTAAACCATGTAGCTATTAAAACTTCTTACGGAATGATTACTCAAGGTCAAATGTCAGGCTGTGGTAGGGTTGGCCTGGACCCCGGCATTTGGGAAACACATGCCTTTGGTGATGTGAGCCTGCCTCCCACCCATGAGAGTGCTGGGTGGGG